ATAACACTATATATATATATATATATATATATATATATATATATATATATATATATATATGACGTCACACATTATGAAATGGACAAAGTCCAACAATTATTTAAGACATTTTTCATAATGTATGTCATCATTTGTTTACATCTGGATACGCATCGAGCAGATAAGAATGTATGAGAGAAAATCATGGAGAATTGTAGTTTAAAAACAGTAAAATCGACTTTGCTAGCCGAACACTCCTCTGTGGCGAAATCGGTGAAGCACATCAGTCTATATGACGGTTTCGCATAGGATACCGGTTCGATTCATGTGGGAGGACGCATATTTTCTACGAAAAGTTCTCGAACATTCAGGCCGTTAAATGTCATTTTATTATAAACAGAGCATTTACTTAAATATTTGTTTCAATAAAAAGAACGTATAAACATAAAAATGTATATATATATATGTTACAATATAGTTTTAAGGTATACTATATTTATGGGTTAAAGTTCTGTATCTCATGGATATAGTGCATGTAAATATAAAAGTGGACATTGAAGTGTACACTTATATCTATATATAGATAGAGAGAGAGACAGAAATTGAAAAAGAGTGATTTGAGTCAGATTGACACAGCCCGTTTCCAACTTTTGATTAACGATATCATCTTTCCTTTTCGTTCATTTGAGAAGATATGATTTCTTTAAGGGTATCATCATGATGAGTTTCATTTCCGGTGATGTGTGTCTGGCTGACCGTTGCTTCTAAGTGATAATCTTCGTGAGTTGGCGCAAAGAATCAGCCAAGTACTAATCAGTAGAAATTGGAGACGACATGCGCTATCGTTGATGGCCGTGATCTCTTCTGAATAGAATGCCTGAAAAGATTATTGGTCTACTGAGTGGCTCTAGACACTGAGCAAGTATTTTGGCCGCGGACAGTCATCAAGAAAATAACGTTCAGGTGATGAGTATGGCATTTCAAAGGGATGATGATTTAAAGGCTAAATGATTTGGCCAAAGAGAAAAGATGTGTCAATATCTGTTAAGGAAAATACTTTGAATTAAAAAGTAATAATGTTTGAAAGGATATTTGATTTTGAAATAATTCCTACCGCATTTCTATGGGCAAAGCTTAAGAAAACCTTTGTTAAATTCATAAGCATTCTATACAAAACATAAATATTAATGATTTTCTTACGAAACACATGCGAATTTAATAAGAAAAGAGTTTATAGCCTACAAAAATCGTTATGGTCTGTTTTAAAAGAAACATTTTGATTGGGCTATTTATTTTATGATGAACTATATAAACATTTTTTAAAATTTATTTTCGAAAATAGACCCCCCCTCTTTGTTTTGCAGAAACTTAAATTCTTTTTTAACGGAAAGCATTACAAGAGATTATCTGTGGAATTGCTTTCAAAATAATGAGCTATGAAAATGCATTATTATGATAATATTCTTGATTAAAAGTTTTGAAATTTCAACTGATGAAACCATTTGCAATGGGGGATTTATTTTTCGAAATAAATAAAATAAAATTTCTATTTATTTCCTCATAAAATAAAAAAAAGGAAGAGTATGAATTCAAACCACCTGCTGCTTTGTGGGCCCTGACGTTTTAGTCAAAAGTTAGAAGAAGGTAAATTCAAGAACGAAACCACCTCACATGTCGTCGTCTCAAAGAAAGGAACTGCCACACCCCTTTACTTCGAGTCGCGATAGAAAATAATGAACTCTTCAGGCTTAGTACAATGGTTTGAATAAACATAACACTGACACACGGTAAGAGGCACCTCGACATGGTGTCATTGTTAGCAAACTTGTCTTTCTAGATCAATTACGACTGAGTAGTGAGTTCGATCCTCACTGGGTGCCCCATACTTTCGGCCTTGTGCCACATCTAAACTAGTCTTAGAAAATCAATATATGCCACAATTATTGTATATTGTATACAGTAATAAATAATCTGTCACAAGGCGGCGTAAACCTCTCTGATTTTGAAACCTTCGCTGAAGGGTGGATCACGCACGCCACCAGAGAAATTTCCAAACTTTTCATTTATCATAGAATAACTTAATAAGAAGAATAATTTATCATAGGAAGTTCATGAGCAGATGTAAAAGAATGAATCACAAATGCCATCATATTAGAAGAGATGAACTTTTCTAATGAAAAGGACGCAAATAATTTTATTCTAAAGAATTTGCGATCAATGCCATTATTAATAGTTTAAAGAAATACATTCTAAATAATGCAAATGAATTTCAAGTGATTTCTCCTCATGCAATTCATCAAAGATTAGTAACGAATTTACGTGGGATGCTCTTTATATCAAAATAATTCTTTGAAGAGGATGTAAATAAACATTGAAATATCACCGGGTTGGTAATCAGATTTTTAATAACAGGGTATTCCCATCTTTTTTTTATAGTGTATTTTGTATGTAGAGCTGTAGTTGATTTAAAGTAATATTTTAAGTTAGGGGGGGATGAAGAAAGAAATGTAGCAATTAAGAATCGTGCTCCAATATCAAGAAACCCCAGCACACGTTTTTTTCGCTATCAATCCCTTATTGCCCCTTAAAAACCCGTCCGATTAAAAAAACTGCGTCCTGAAAAAAAAAGTGCTCTCATATCAGTTGCGTTCTCGTGCATGCAAAACCACCAACACGTGTGCTATGACGGAATTACAAATGGCGATCATGACCACCCCCTTTGCTCTCACTTCACTACAAGAGTCTGTTGAAAATTTCTGTTGATAAAAGATGGAAATTATTAATTGTGGAAACATATGTCTATTGCTTTAGAGCTGAGTTGAATCTCTGCGAATTGTAGGAAGAATATAATGACGTCACAAGAAAGATATAATGACGTCACAAGAAGAATATAAATAACGTTACAAGAAGAATATAATGACGTCACAAGAAGAAAGACTTGTTAAGCTTAGCACTAAGTAAAAAAATTCCAAGTTCTTAAGTAACTTTGTCTAAGAATTGAAACTTAAATCGGATGTAGTGGCACTTGTAAATATTTGAAAATAGTTGGGTAAGTTTATAGGATGAAGGCGTTGAAAGTAAGGAGTGAACGAATTGTTATGAAATAACTGCATTTCACTGTTTGTGGCGAAGTTGTCGTTTGGGTCAGAAAATGCAGGCTATAAATACAGGTGTTTTTTTTTTCTTTTGGGGTGAGAGGTGGGGAAAATTGCTGTGTTTTGATGACTTGAGAATAAATTATGGGCAGACCACATAAAGGCATGGAATACAGCAAAAATACAATGCTGTCATCCGAATATGGTTTGTAGATAGACGAACCAGTTCAGTAACATGAGGCGGAAAATACGAGCAAAGACATACATATAGGAACACGCACACATTCACATGAAAACTGCTCTTACTGACACACATACACACACACACACACACACACACACACACACACACACACACACATATGTATAATTTTGTTCTGACGTTTATTTCATTGAAATATTTGTAAAACTGTTTCCACTAAAAACGCAAAATATCGGAATTGCTTTTCTTTTGTCGCCATTGTTTCTGTCTACAATTCTTCTCTCTTTCCTCCACATTATCCTCCCCTCTCTTTCTCTCACACCGCTTTTTGGGATTACGATCACATCACTTTGGAACAACATTTCCCCGTACGAAAACCGAAGTTAAGCAACGTCGAGCATGGTGATGGGTGACCGCTTGGAAATACCAGTTGCTGTAAGCTTGCGTGTGTGGGGGGTGTAATGGATAATCGCTCGAAAATTTTAATCGGAGAGCCGAGTTCTAATTCCCGTTGGGTTTGTTGTATTCAGTTACGCGAAAATCCCCTTGGCAAAATATAAATCTACCTATTCTTCCATAACTATGAGTTAATTAGTATTACTTGTATCATTAAATCATTAGTATCTTTAAAAAATTCTTGCAATCTAAAAATATTTTCTGGCTTTAAATAACCTGCAAAGGGTTGATAAACCGTAGAAAACGAATCAATCAAACTCTCTCTCTCTCTCTCTCTCTCTCAGTAAATGTCCTTCAATTTTAGTTTCCCCCGCCACATGTCTCTCCCCCACCTCTTCTTTCCTTTCCCCTCCCTCCCTCTGATTCTGATCTTTAACATTAGATCGTCTATGGTGTGTGTATGTCATCACGAAATGTATCTTTATGTATTAGACATCCGACAACATTCATATTTCTCTTACTTAAACCCCTTCCACTCACCTCTTCTAAAACTCTCTCTGTTAAGGTTTAATCTCCCTCCTTCTCTCGTCTGTTACCCCTCTCTTTAGCTCTAACATTCGTCCCACACTCTCTCTAAATTCTAATTTCCGGAGTTGTTTTTTTCTGTTAAACTGACAAGGCTCGTAGTTGCACGTATGTCTCACTGTGCGACATTTCATGTGATTGAAGCACATGCATACATGGTGACAACAACATCTTACTCAGATAAAACCCGCCTCTTTACCCATCGCATCACCTTTAATGATTTCCCTCTTGTTTCGGAGTCCATGGTTCCTAAGATGATTCTTGAGACCTAGATTCGTTTTCATAGGTATTATGCATACATGACAAATAAACCATGTATCGTTGATTGGGTTGACGTTGATATGTATGCCCTACAACTCTCCTGTGTAACACCGTGTGCCTATCCTGTCCAGATGATTATCTATAAACCTTGTCGCAAACAAAACAGGTATTGTTGATAGGGTGATGAGGCGGGTTGGCCTAGTTGGCTTGCTTTTGATTATTATGATGACCTTTCAGATGGTTGATATAACCTGCCCTCGACAGCAAGATGCATTGACATATACCATATTTCTGTGACAGAGCAGAGTGAGTACATACATATATACATACATATATGGATGGATGGATGTGTGCGTACATCTATAGGTATTTAGCAAGCTTAGCTAACTGTGGCAGGAAGCCAGAGTAAAGAGTCAGTCTCTGAAGATCGAACTCACTTCTATAGTAATTGCCCGCCAAAGTAGTTTGTTCATTAGTTTTTCATGGCATATCTATCTATCTATCTATCTATCTATCTATCTATCTATCTATCTGCATATGTGTGCGTGCTTGTGTGTGTTAGCAGAAATCGATTTAGTAGTTCTTAAATTTTCTTAGTGAATAAAATAAAAATATATTCATTTAAAGATATTTCAAAATAAAAGTTATCTTTATTAAAAAACAAATTTAAAATTTAATCTGCAGTTAATTTCCCCCAGTTTTCTGGAAAGGAAAGAAGAAAGAGAAAAGGTAGGAGGAAAATAAACAATGATGCTCGATTCCTCCTCACCTTCCCGTTGTATAAATCTCTAAAATGGCTTCACCTCCATTTTGAGCGCGATGGCTGTGTTTATATTTCATCGCGCGAAAATTAAATTCGTCTTTTCCTTTGTCGCTTGAAAGAGAGTCCCTGATGCCGTATCACAACAAGAGAATTTTCCCACAAGTTTTTTTTTTTGCTGGCCGCCGAAATTTTAAGATAGAAACTTCAAGGCAGGAACATCCCTTAAACAACAAAGAAAAGCAAAAGCAAAAAAAAAAAAAAAAAAAAAAAAAAAAAACAGTGAAGAATCCATCTTCAAGAGAAACCTTCTTCCTTTCATTTCATTAAGAAACAGTTAAGTTGTCGTCAAGTGACGAACTTTATATTTGAGGAACATTTATTCGGTTCATAAGAATCGTAATTAAGATTGTCTTTTTTTTTTAAATATAGCTTCTGATATGTCCTGGAGAGGGATATATTTGTTTGAAGTGGCAAAGTGGTTTAGGACTGCTGTAACCAAGTAGGACAATCTAGCAGGTAACTGTAATGGACTGGTCCTTGTCGTAGTGGTAGACAATAGGCTCCACATCAGTCTGTATTTATGACTGACACCAGCCAATCATATTACTGTGAGGGGGAATCCAGGTGTATGCATATTCATTACATCAACTTCCCTTTTCTTCAGCGGAATTGGTTCTTTTCAGAGCCAAGATAGTCTATAATTTGGTATGTTATGTACCAAATATTACAAGGTACAGAAAAACCTTTTTGCAAAGTCCTTGAATCGGACTATTCAATGCCTAAGTGTATATTATCAAATATCTTTCCTGTGGATGTGGGAGTTTCTAATTATTTTCGAAGGAGCCGGTTTAAAATAAGAATATATAAAGAAAAATAGTTAAAATTAAAAATAATTTCCTAATTGCTTAAAAGTCTAACGTTCGCTGGCACATAATTATATTTGATTTCAAAATTGAATTGTAATTATTTATATATTCGAAATTTATTATTATTAAATAATTTTTATTTCTCCAAACTATAACAAACACCCTACCATCTCTCCATCTCATTTTTCACCTTTAATTTTACTTCTCTTATTTTGTTTGATATCCTTACCAACTCGTCGGCAATGTAAGTAAATGCATGGATTTTTTTTGGGGGGGCGGGGGGGGGGGGCATTGTCTCTATTTCGATTTCAATTCCATATAATATATATTTATAGTTTTCTGTTTTTTAGATGTTTGATTTATATAGAATGTCAGGAATTTCTTATTGCTACAAATGTTATTTTAGTTGTTACATGTGTTTGAGTCGACGTTCTTTTTTTATTTACAAACTGAAATTAACGCCTACAGGCCTAGATTATCGAAAGCCTTAATAAAGAAATTGTACCGCTCGACAGCCTTTCAATAATCTTGGCCGATAATCGTTCATTTGACAGTTTGTAAAAAATTAGGAATTTCTACTCAAACGTGTACCCATTAAAATTACCCATTTAAATAACGTTTATAGCATTACGAAATATTTTTGGATTAAAAAAATCTATTAATTCTTTAAATTAGAATTTCAAGAATCATTTATGTTTAATCAAATTTTACGATTATTGTTAACGATTCAATGACCTACAAAACAAAAACGGATGAAAGGAAAATCGAATAGAATGATATTTGCATTTAGGTTAGCAAAATACAGAGATATTTAAGAAAAAGTTACCCTGTCTATAAGTTTTGGAAAATTATCCAACTGATGGCACCCCCCACCAATATTTAGAAAGAAATTTACACAAAAAGCAATTCTGAGAAAATGGTAAAGAATGTATCAGGGTTCAATTGTCTTTTACTGTGGAGATGTTTTCCATTGATCCAGACTTGTCATATTTGGGAAAAAGTTAATTTTTACTTCGTAAAATTCGGTACTAGACAAAATTTTCGAGAAAGATAAAGAATGGATCGGTCGAAATATTGTGAAATGATAAATAAAGCAAAACGAAAACAAAAGGAAACAATTAATGTTAAAAAAACATGGTGTTAATTCTGTCTTTGATTTGAATCATTTGGTTACAGTCAGTATTGTGTTAAGTAATGAAAAAGTACTTCCTCATCATGAATGGTGGTGCTTTTGTATCCAAACAATGACAAGCACTCTAGTGACTTCAGTAATCTCAGTTTCAAGGGCAATAACTTAACACATATCAAAGTGTTTATTTTAGAAAAATCATTATGACGATAGTTTTTCAAAGTAAAAGAGTTAGAAAAAAACGGATTAATCGATTGGAAAAAGGAATCGATCTATTAGTCATGAAAAACAAATTTCGCTTTGTTATTTTCGTTTTCTTCTGCAGATTTTACTTTTATAATGTTTTCTATTTATAAAACATAGTTTAGTCTGGAACAAAGCCAACGTTGTCCGTAATCCAGAAAGACTATTTGGGTTGAGACCAATTTTCTCGCTATTCCGCCCTAGAACCCTATAAATCTTTTTAAAAATCTTAGTCTGTAAGTAAAAAAAAAACCCCAGTCGTGAGACATTCAATAAGAAACGAATTCATAACACAAGCAAATTATTCTGCGAGAAGATAGTACTACGGCAAGCGCTTTCTGAGAAAGAGAGTTTTAGTTTCTAATCCAAATGTTTGACCACCCCCTCCTCTCCACAAACTAATGAAAAAGTAAACATTTTGCCGTGGTATGACATTCTAATCGCAAAATAGAAAAAAAAAAAAAAAAACTAGAAAAATAACAAAAAAAGAAAAAAAAAAAATACGCCAAGAGAAAATGAAATCATTTTGGGATTTGTTTTGCCTTTCTATTTCGATGTTTTTATTGTTAGTGGAATGTCAGTTTTCATAACATTAGGTCGAGCTAAACCTTAACCGAGCGCATCTCCGTGTTTCTGTTTCGTCTGGCAAAGGCATTCACTCGAACGTTGTCCTGGGAATATCCGTCCGTGACGAACTACCATTCCAAGGTCCGGCATTCCAATGCAAAGAAAACCAAACCACAAAGACACCTGCACTTATCATTAACGGATTTGGGAGCAGAGAAACAAGAAGCGACTGTGAATAGAATTACTTTTTCTTTCTTTATCATTTTTTTAAATCTTTTTCTCTCCTTTTTCTTTTTTTTTTTTTTTCTCCAATTTTTCTTCGAGAATTTTCTTTTTTTATTCGGCATTTTTTTTTCTCGTATTTCCCTCTTCCTCGCCTTCGGATCTTGTTAGTGCGAGACTAAAATTCTTTCACCTTCCCCCATTTCCACGAAATGCGCTAATTTGAAATTCAGCTTGACGAAGAGTGTCTTATTTTTTTGGCCGTTAATGACGAGAAGAAAAAGGCTGATCTCCAGATGTTATTCCAAGACAATATTTCTGAAGAACTTTTTAATATTTTTTATTCTCATATATACATATCTCGACTCATAAAATGTTTCATAGACATGATTCTCTAACACGTATTACTATAGACTGCTCGATTGACAAGTCGAGATATCTCTTACTCTGTATGTTTGGATGAAAAGTTTAATGTTTGATAGAAAACTGTTGAATATGTTTGATAGAAAACTGTTGAATATGTCAATTATTGATTAAATTAAGTCTACTGCATTACTGATTTAGCATAATGGTGTTTCATGTCGATGAATTTGTTATTACTGAACTTGGTAGCAATGAAATAACTTAATTGTTATTGAAATATTTTCATTTGGGATGTGGAAAGAAAAGACGAAATTAAAAGCTGACGGAAACTTAGGCTATAGGACAATGACAACTAAGAACATAATTGCTGAAGTTAGTTTCTGTCATATTAACAAGTGTCATTCTCATTTCAAGAGTTCTTTCAACTACTGAACTAATTCTCTTTTACTGTCTCTATTTCTGAGATTAGGCATTGTAACTATTTACACTATTTATATTGTTGGGACTGTTGTCCTCATCTTTATTGCCATATTCACCTTCAACATCTGTCTCTATTTCTTAGATGAGGTATTGTAACTATTTACATTGTTGGGACTGTTGTCCTCATCTTTATTGCCATATTCACCTTCAATATCTGTCTATATTTCTGAGATGAAGTATTGTAACTATTTACACTATTTACATTGTTGGGATTGTTGTTTTCATCTTTATTTTCGTATTCACGACGTTTCGACCGTTGTACGCTCCGGCCTTCTTCAGATGATATACATTGGAATTTTGGCCCAAAGCCTTTATTTCATCTACCAGGGTAGATTGTTCTAGTTCCACGTGCCATGCCTTTTCTGGATATCTCAGTTTAATTTAATTCTCTTTAGTAAATCAACTCTCCAAATTCTTGTTCACCTCTACTGTGGCTAGATATTGAACCCACAACTCTTTGAATCAAATCACTGGATTGCTTCACCCAACGCTTTTATCCACTTTTTTGAAGAGCTGTGAGTTCAATAATTAGTCCAAAATAACAGAAGTATATATCAGTTTTCTGTTAAGAAAAGAAAAGTTTATTAATAAAAACATTACTATTGATACACAAAAGCTAAAGAATTTAATTATATAAGCAATACATCGAAAGTGACACCTGCCAAATTCATATTGCTCCTGGAGTAAGCATTTGAGGGATAAATCTCAGAGGCATTAATTATGAGGCTAGTGTAATTCTAGCTCATGTAAGGAGATTAGCTGAATGAATGCAAATGATTTATGGACATTATGACATCAGTTTGCTTCTGCAAACATATAGTATAACATTTAACAGCATTTATAAGATCCCCCTACACATTCAAATGTGGACAAGGAAGAAACCAGCTGACTCCTAAAAAGTATATTCGAGGAATATTAGAAAACTTTACTGAGAGGAGAAATAAGAAAAAATATCTAGAATTTAAAAACATATCACCCTACAATAGCTTAGATGAGATTCAAATAACAGATCACTAGCTTTACTAGAAGATAAGAAAATTGAAGGAAGCGGACACATCAGTGCGAAAAAGGGAATCGGCGACCTTTGTTCAATATCGAGCTGAAATAGTTTGTGGTCATTCTATACAATGCACTTGGAAAACGTATGAATCCATCTTTCCAAATAGATCAGGTCAGCAATTATTTCCTCTTGCCCATGTATTCAGGTATATGGGCAATTGTCTTTCAGGGCCGTGAGTTATTTTTTTATCGTAAAGAAGGTTTCTCCGAGAAAATCTAATGTTTCGTAGTCGCCATGGTCACCTCTCCCCTTGCTGTGCTACCGGAAAAGGACGACAAGCCTCAAGAGTGAACTCAGCATGCGTGAGCGGGGGGAGGGTCTTCACTTTAAAGCAATGGTTGGAGAGGAGGAGAAAGCAGCAGAATATATATATATATATATATATATATATATATATATCCTCTTCTGGCTCACATATCAGAAAACTTTGAGTTTGAAATCTTCCTTTTTTGGCGGGGGTGGGGGTTCATTAGCAAGCAATGTGAATTCCAAACTAGCGTAAAGGCACCTCTACATCATTCCCAAAATGATCAACATCAATTAGCAGCCTTTGATATAACGATGAGAACGATATTTATATTTGTTTAGTTTGCATTTGACAGAATCTGTCCCTGCCCAGGCGTTACTTGTCATCCCACAGCGCTAAACCACTTCGTTAAACAAGTTCGGTTATCGAATCTGACCCTTGACACTTGTTCGCTGCGATTGACTGACCCTCATGATTTCACCGTCAATTGTCGCTTGTGCTCAATAATTCATTAATTTCACACAAAGCAAAATTGTCTTTATTATCAAGTGGCTATGCTGAGATTTGAATTTAATTGACAATTTTTTTCATTTTTTAGCAAGGTATGACAACCAAGAGGTCAATTATTAATCTGAATGAATGAAAATTGAACGTGAAATGCTTTGTTCTTTGAGCTGTATTTGTTGTAAGTCTCTTACATATACTTGACTCGAACGGAGCGCGTTTCATGCGCATTTACAAAAAAATTCACAACTATCAATTGCATTTTTTTTTGTCTTAGCAATTCATCCTTGAAGATGATCTTGGATGAGATTGAAAATACTTGGGAAAATAAAAGAAATGACAAAAACTACAGCATCTTTCTTACTTAGTTTTTAACAGTATTAAGAAATTAATCCGTGAATTTGAGAGGGTTAAAATAAAAATAAATAAACATTATGCTTATTTATTTTGTCTAAATTATTCAGCCACATACACGCATATTCATTTGACAAAACTGAACGGCCTTATGCATTTTTACTTGCATCATAACAATAAAATGAAAGGTGGAATATTTATAGATTTTTGTTTAAGTGATATTAAAAGTTGCAAAACCAAATATTTACGTGATTAAGATAGACACATTGAAAGTATTTGAAATCCCCTACCGTTCTAGTTATTTCAGATACAATTACAAAAAATGACCAGAAAATCTACAAAAAAAAAAAAATAAAAAAATAAAATAAATAAATTAATAAAAGGAAAAAAAAGAAAGAAAAAAAAGAGAAACAACAATATTAATTGCAGGTACATTATCATACCTACAAACGCCATAACTAATGAACTTAAAAGAAATTTAGCTAAGCTCAATAAAAAATGATCGCAAAGCCTTCAAAAAAACGCATAAAAATATTATCAGTATAAAAAAGAGAATTAATTTAACATCAGAAGTCGAAATTTACCGAATATAAAGTAAACAATATCCTACACACTAAGCATGCCTAGATTTAAAGAAAAGAAAATACAAACACCAAAGGGAACTAAAATGAATCAACCCACACTCAATTCATTTGTGTGCCATCAAAAACTTCATGATTCCAGTTTTTTTTTTGGAAGGCGCCATTTTAATAAAACGTGAATCTAATTTCCAAAGAAGAAGTTGCATTGAAAGTGTCATGATCTATGAGTCTGCTGCCGCCGATTAATATACGACTGAGAGCTATTCTAGTTTATTGTTTGTTATTACTAAATTAATAATGAAATAAGATGCGTTACGTAGACTTTAAGATAAATATAAAGGTAAATTTCAATTATAATTTTTATAACGATAGAATTAAAGAAAAAACGTTCAGACATGAATGAAATTTTGACATGTTTATCGGTGAAACATCTCAAATTAAAAATTACCCAAATTCTATCTCTTTCTCTCATATAATAATAATAATAATAATAATAATAATAATAATATCAGAATCCAATACTCTGAGTAGTGCATTTTGATATTATTGTATTACAATAATATATTATATTTAAGCTTTATCAACTTTGGCATTGAAACCTCAGTTTATTTTAAATTTTAATCTTTTAGTTTATTTTAAAGCATTAGATTATATCCTTACAAACATTATATCCACACAAACATAAACATATATGAACAGTGTGGGACTGGGCGTATATGCGCATCCATGTGACGTTGCGTACATACGTACGCAATTGGTCGCTGTATTCAATGTTGGATTGTGTAGCGAACATCTTTTATCAGTTGCAGTGTCAACGCGCATACAGTTCGTCTATTTTGTTCGCTGAATAATGTTTTCTCGCACACACGTATATACGTATGCACACGCGTTCACACATCTTCTATCCGTCTGTTTTTTTTATGATTGGGTCTGTGTAAGACAATGGTAGGTAAAATTGCTATTATATTTAATTTTTCACTTTATTTAAATGCTGTTTTGTTACTATTTTAAAGCCGGTTATTTGCTTGTTTTTGGCGATTGCGCATATGTAAATGGTAGAAAGTCCAATTTATAATACTTATTAGTATATATATATATATATATATATATATATATATATATATATGTGTGTGTTATTTATATTATTCGGATACATTATCCTCATTTTCATTGCCATATTCACAACGTTTCGGCCGTTGTACGCTCCGGCCTTCTTCAGGTGATTGGAATTTCGAAGAGAACCCTTTAGTACGTCTACTGGGGCAGATTGTTCCAGTTCCACATGTCATGCCTCTCCTGGATGTCTCAGTTATTTCCCTTTAACTCAAGTCTCCAAGTTTTTTGTTTCACCACTGCTGTAGCCTGCTATTGAACTAATCACTGGATCTAACTAACGTCTTTATCCACTGGGTCATATGTCCCTGAAGACATCTGTTTATGAATTTTTGGGACTTGTAAACCTAATGTCTTAGCAACCTTTTTTTTTTTTACCAGTGCTCGTACAGCTATTTCCCTACTACTATTATTGCATATTTTTTACCAGAGCTTATATTTTTGTGTTGTTATTCATTTCTTTACTCTTTATTTAAAACTCCTTATTAATGGTTCCCATATTGTAAACTATTGCGTATATAACGATGAAGATGAGGACAACAGTCTGAATAATGTAAATAATCGTAATGCCTCATCTCACATACACACACTCACACACACATATATACATTAAAAGCCATCTACATTAAAACAAAGCAACTCACACTCAACAAAATTACATTTCAAACTAGTCACAACACATTACATTGCATCTAGACATATAGTTCTGTTGTTAATATTTCGTTCTCTCGCGTGGTATGACGTCATAGAACCGTATCACGAATTTGCGACCCGCGGTTGTTATTCCGCAACCGTTATCGTTGCATATATATATATATATATATATTGTTTACATAAAGTATTAATTTATTTTATTTAGTAAGCCTGTTGTACTGAAGCCAAATGAGCGACATTCTGTCGTTTATGAAATGACTGCTCACAAATGTATACAATTAGAACATTAAATCATTATGAATTAAAGATGTGCACGTTTATCCACTTCGCCTTCTTCTCTTTCTCCCACTCCTTCAATAAAATTCGTTCTTCTCTTCTTCTCTTTTTCCTTTTCTTAAACACTCTCTTTCAAATGAATAATTTTCTTCTTCTATTCCATTCTTTTATTTTCCTTAATTTCTCCCATAAGATATTTTTCTATTTACTTTCTTCGTTTTCTCTTTCCTTTTCTTCCACTACATTTTCAACTTCTTTCTTTCTCCTCACTCTTTTCTTTTTTTATCAACAACGTGTTGGTCAAATGTTCTGGCCTTTTTTGCAAGAAACAATATTGATGTCTTTTTCTTTTTATACAATTGCTTCACTGTGAAGCTCATTGGGTTTTGTAAGTTTTGTTATTATTTGATGATCTTTTTTAAAATTATGTTTATGGGCGATTCGAAAAGATACATAATGCCATTCTTAAACATTATAGGCCTTGCTTACTCGCAGAAAAAAAAAATTCTGTCATTTGAAATTTTGATCTCGTTTTATGACGATCAGTCAAAAGAAAAGCTCTTTCTGGTCTCGGGTTTATTTCAACACACACACACACAAAATGAAATATTGCTCATGTAGGTTTTTTTTTGCTTGAAAATGTATTTTTCTCACTTGACCTTGTTTTGTTGCTTCAAAATTCCTCAAGACTAAATCAAGCAACGACTGAAATGGAAAAAGAAAAACGCTATTAAAAAAACAAATGAGATTTATGAGGTTTTCGTTTTGGGTCTACTATGATAAACTTGTAAGATTAAACTAAATCATCGTGATAAACAATGAAAAATAAAATAACGGCTAATGAATGAGAAGGAGGCAAACTTAAAAGGTGTAAAATCAATGTATTCATAATTTTAGATATAAAGTTGAATAGAAAGAAAAATCTGTCTAGATTCACAGAGAAACAAAAGCTATTTTCGCTATTAGAATGATGTGAGGCTGTGCAGTAATGCAGAGTGTAAGATAAAAGAAAACACTACCAAAATGCAGTTTCGATTCCGATAAAACACTTCGTGCAAAATTATGAATGGTATTAAATATTTAAAGTTCTTCCGTTAAAAATACATACGAATGAGACTTTGTATGCTTCTAAAATTATTGTATGTCTTTAAGCAAAATATATTTGCTGACGCCGACATTTTCCCTCCTGTTTTTTTTATTCCATATCACCTCATGCAAGGTAGTAAAGCCACTAAGATACAAGAAGTTACAGGGTGTGTATGAATTATGAACATAGACATTAATAATGAGCGTGAAGAGGAAAGAGTAATCAGGAGAACAGTAGATAACGATTGACATTGAATTTAAATTATTGCAGATTAAAGTTGGTTAGAAATCATGTAGCCAGGATGGAGTTCCACAGGCAAAAAGTGCGAGAAAAGAATCTGTTAGCGTAGACTATTCAGTTATATTTAGCCAGCTTAACTGTAATTGATGAGATCTCGACGTACTGCGCTTAAATTAAAATAGTCTAGGTACCATAACGAAGAATGATATTTATTCTGATATGTACACAGAAAATGTGGCGCAGGGCCAAACTGGGAAATGGAGAAAAGGAAGGTCTTCTTCTGTCTTAACAATAACTTACCTATCCACAATCACTGACCCAAACATACAACAAGATTCCTTACACCAAAACAACGCATTCTTACTTAGCTTTTCTACTACATCTACTATAATACATTAATGTCTCCATGAAAGTCCTAACTCGTCCCCATATGAACAATTCATTGTTTGTGGGGGAGGGGGAAATAAAACAACAATTTTATAGCGAAGAGCTCATCCGAACTATTACCATGAAAGTATTTATAGAAAAGACACACAGAGGCAACCTTAGAGAAGTTGGAAAGTGACTGAAGCCAAGACGCCAGATCAGGACCAATAATATTGCTGATTCTTCGTTGTACCTTATCAAGGAGCTCAAGGTAAATAGCAGGCGCACCAGAACATATGTGGCAGCAATATTCTAAGTATAGACGAATGGTAGACTTATAGATTTGTATGAGAGATTCTGGAAAGAAAAATCTTGATTCGTAGAGTTTTAAATTTAACTCCATAGACTGTTTCCTTTGATTTATTATCGAATATTGGAGAAAATTGGAATAAAAGATGATGTGGGAATTTTATATTAGAGGGAAAACTTTTTTTTTTCATCGGTGGATTAAACAACGTAAGTAATTTAGTAATTAGGAATTCCCCTCGTCATTTCCCTAGGAAATATATTTATCAAATTTAATTAGATATCGGGATTTAGATTAGATTAAATCTGGTACAAGGCCATAAATATGGGGTACATACTAAGAATCGGATTCACAATACGATAGCAGGGGGGGGGGTCGCCAACAATTAGCCCAAGGCGAAATAACCAGTGCTAAATAAAGGAATTGCAGAACTACTTTAAGTCTTCTAAAATCAAGAAAACATTTTAAAAGATTCAAATGATGGCGGATTTGAATGAATATCAGAATATGTTTGACAGGAAAAATAGAAAATTTGAATACTGAAAACTGAGCGCTATCAAGTAAAAATATAAAAATAAAAGCCTAAAGTTTTGCTGAGAAAATGAAGTTGAATTCCTGATGGAGAAAAAAAGAATTATTTTTCCATTGAAATGTAAAGAGAAAATCAAATAGAAGCGTGATTCAAAAAAGAAATCGTATAATATTTTCCCGATTCCAAAAAAGCTGGATAAACAATAAGATTTCGACTGAAGAAAGAATAAATCATAAAACTGGTTCTTAATTCCCAAAAGGAAATGTTTCTCAAAAGAACGTCTGTTTCTGGTATTACAAAAATTGTCAGAATGAAAACATCTCTTCGAAATAATCATAATGTTGACTCACCATCATTCAACCGTTCTCTTCGCATAACATTCAATGATCGATATTAAGTTCTTTGACAGATTCTTAAAAAAAACAAAAAACAAAAAACATTAGATGATACCATTAGCTTCTCCATTTAATGAAATGTTTTAAAATCTGACGGACAGATTCCCAGAACTAGTTAATTATAATACACACTAGTATCGTCTGGTTGGTAATAATATGCGCTTTCCCATGAAGATCTTAACTAACACGATCGAATAATAATAAAAACTAAAATACAATAAAATATCGAGTCATTTCCGTCGTGTCTATTTGAGACGGATACACTTACGTCGATTCGTCAGATATCAATTGGAATTTCAAAACTCACTGGGGTTTCTAAAACAACATGAAAATCTACTGAAATGGTTACACCAAATTTCTTGAGTGTTTGATGAATATCGATCTCATAATACAATTACTTTTTTCTTATAATAATAAACTTCACCCAATACAAGGATCAAGACTCCATCAATTTAGAATGTTCGTATTAAAATATTTATGGCGAATAAGATGCGTGATAAGAATAAAAGAGGAGATGGTAGGAAGCAAAAGATAGATAAAGATTGACCCTTGAATTGAAAAAGTTGACACTGTAGTCTTCAGAGAAGCATAAAAGCAGGAGTCTGTTCCAGAAAGTAGCAATTTCTGGGGAATTTAGAATGCTGGAGAAATGAGGATTATTTGAATCTGTGGAAATGGCATGACACGTGTGCTAGTCGATCTGAACTTGTGAAAACTAAATAATCATTAGTTCATTTGAATATATGCCATAGAAATAGCAATGGAGTCGTGTTAGGCTTGTGAGATCAGCACGCTGACCACTAATGCTCTAACTGGGTTGTTCATTGATCAACATGAATCCTCTTAAATCAATAGACTCACTGCCATCTCCCCACTATCCCTTCCCCACTACCACTTCCCCTCTACCACTTCCCCAATACCACTTCCCCACTACTATTGTCGGTGGTGGCAGCGTTTAATCATCAGACTACCGCCATTTTGTTCGTCATTATCTATGCACAACAACGGTTTCACCTTCGATCGCCGACACAATTATACATTGGTGGAATCATAAATATCTCGGCATTGAGATCACCAAACCTTCCCCCAGTCCCTTCCACCTTCCCCACCCCAAGTCTCACATGGCAACAAATCAACGTAGCACTGTCCAGTATCACATCATCTTGTCTGACTACCATTGACCAATTACTCCACACCACTTCTGCTTGATGTTCGAAAAACTTCTAAACACTTTTCGAATTTTCAAAATTTTCTTCCTTTTCTTCTTCAGTTCCTTTTACCATTTTTCATTGTTACATTTCTTCTTCTTCTTCTTCTTCTTCTTCTTCTTCTTCTTCTTCTTCTTCATTTCTCTTTCCACATTTTTTCATTTTTATATCTTCAGCATTTCTTCTTCTTCGTTTTCTTCTTTTTATTTCACTTTTCACATTTTTCCTTTTTATATTTCCACCATTTTTTCTTCTTTTTCTTCTTCTTGCTCATCTTTTACTTCTGATTCTTCTCTTCTTCTTTTTCTTCTTCTTCTTCTTCTTTATTTCTCTTTCTGCATTTTTTCCTTTTAATATCTCCACCATTTTTTCTTCTTCTTCTTCTTCTTCTTCTTCTCTGAGCCTTTCGTTCTTCCCTTCATTGTCGACATCAACTGCACTCCACAACGTATTCCCCAGTCACAGCCATGTCTCCCTTCAGACCGCCCGCCCACCAGCCTTCAAATCAACTTTTGGAATCATCACGGCCGACCGATAGACGAGTCGCCCTATCGCGTAGAGCATATGGTGTTTCTTCAAAGCAGCTTCCCTAATTTGTTTACTTGACTGCCGAGACTCGAGCGAAGCCCAATCGGCCGCATAATACAACATGGCTCCTTACACTTGCCGCTTATTGGTATGCACGGCCAGAGACGGCTATTGTCCACGTCGGGAGTGCCGGTCACATTGCTATTCCGCCCAGACTGGAGATTTCGTAGCGGGAAGGGGTCGCGGACGACCCGCTTCGATTATTGAAGGAAGACGGTCCATTCAGCCGATGAAAAAGTGATCAACGCACGCGATTTCATAGAGATACACACCTGCACAGGTACTCAAGAACGAACACACGCACACAGAAGGAATCAAGTAGATATAATAAATGGCTATCCATTATATATATATATAAGCAGAGAGAGAGAGAGAGAGAGAGAGAGAGAGAGAGAGAGAGAGAGAGAAAGAAAGAAGGTATTATGGAGTAATAGCGGCTTTGATTGAGGAATCGGAGAACTGAGTTCGAATTCCAGCCGAATCCATTACGTTCACTTACGTGCTAATACCCTTAAGAAAGGTATGAATCCTCTTCTCCCTCCAGATATGGGTAAACAGCAGAACAGACTGGGTTCTATAGCCTTGGATGGCAACTGGTCTAGGAGAAGGACAACTCTGAAGTCAAAATTCTGTATTCACCCCTTCAAAAAGTGTGGTTGGTCCTGCACAAAGCCTTCACCACTATAATCAAATCTCTAGGAACCGATCTGCTTGACCCTCATACATCGAATTGGACGGGAGAGTCGAATATATATATATATATATATATATATATATATATTAATAAATATACATTTTTCCTCATCAGTATCACGATTTTGAGTTTCATGCATAATGCAATCTTCGGGTGCTGAGTTGAGACTGACCGTTTTATTAACACCATCACTTAATGTGTGATATTATATATTAATTTATATATTTCAATTAAAAGGTGCAAATATAATTTATAAATTCATGAATCATTCATACAAAAAACAAATATAAAGATTAATGATTTAAATGGCGAGAATACATCGTCGCAAACAATATAAATAAGATACATCAACCCCGAACCTCTATATGAATGATATGATCCCTGTTTATAAATTCCAGTTGCATAAGGTCTTTTTAATTTTTTACAAGCTTTCGTCTGTTCCTACAGACATCATCAGGTATGGAAGTAGATTTTGTTCTTGTTTTTACTTCTCAGTAATAAGAGGACAACGAAAATAGAGATGCAATCCGAAAAAATGCTATGAGAAATGTGTTATTGTTTAGGAAACTGCGGTCGCAACGCTGAGATTGAATTTAAATTTTAAGGTTGTGCGTTTTTGTACAAATATAGCAATAAGGGAATTCTTTTTTACTGGTAGATTTTCCGTGAATATTAAAGAAATTAAAAAGACCTTATGCAACTGGAATTTATAAACGGGGATCATATCATTCATATAAAGGTTCGGGGTTGATGTATCTTATTTATATTGTTTGCGACGATGTATTCTCGCCATTTAAATCATTAACCTCTATATTTGTTTTTTGTATGAATGATTCATGAATTTATAATTTATATATATATATATATATATATATATATATATATGTGTGTGTGTGTGTGTGTGTGTGTGTGTGAGAGAGAGAGAGATAACGATATATATTTTTACATATCAAGAACAGTATTGTGAAATACTATGTCAAGTTGCCAAAAGTTTACATGTGACGCGTTTCGTCCTTCAGGACTTAATCGGAATAAATTTGTTGTTTAGTCCGGTGAATCCTGAAGCACAAAACGCGTCAAAAGTAACGGTCTTCATCCTTGTGTAGGTGAACGTGTTGTTTGTCACAGATTTCTCTGTTTTCACTTGGCACTCATATCGAACAAAAACGGGCACAAATGAACACGGGTACAAATGAACACGGGTACAAATGACGCCCACGAAGACGTTTACAATGCTATCATGGCATAAAATTATCTATGTGGTACAACGTAAAGAGTAAAATTTTTATTACAGGCGGCACCTTTCTCCATTACCAGTATTGAATTGTGGAATTCTGGGAAGGTCAACCGACGAATACTGAATATCATAGTTGAAGCTGATACAGGTCATACATAACTGGCGCTACACAATTGCCCCCAAATCATGAAGTTTTGTTCAAATATTTCATAGTTACATTCACTCATCCAAAGTGTATTTTATGGATTCCCAGCGATGTTTGCAAACAGAGAGAGAGAGAGAGAGAGAGAGAGAGAGAGAGAGAGAGAGAGAGAGAAGGAGATGAGGGAAAAAAGTGAGTGCGTGTGTGTGTTTTTGGGTGGGGGAGGGGTAGAAACCGAGGAGAAAAATGTGGAGAAAGATATTTTTTTTGTACAAACATTGTTTATATCAATAAAAAAAGCACCGGTTAAGATTATGTGTGTACTTATAAAATCCGCGATGCCGAAAGGTATGTGATTATATCCTTCGCTATCGCAGATTTTATTTATATTGAGAATTGTTGTTTTCGAATAAAGAAGGAACCTGTCTTACACATTTATAAGTCTACCATTCGTCCGTTCATCGGATTTTGCTTCCACATCTGGTCTGGTGTTTCTGCTATATGACGAGAGATTCTGGACAAAATTCAAAGAAGAATCTGCAATGTTAGCTATCCACATCTGGCATCTCTGCTTTACTCACTTTCCCACCGCCGTAACGTAGCTTTCCTTGATATCACAAATTTAAGCGAAGTGCTAGATTGGCAGTTCAGTCCCATAATTTCATTGTAGAAATTACTTCACTTCCAGCTTCCTACTTTCCGGCTAATTACGATGCAGTGTCAATCGTCGCCTTTTGTCTCCTTGAACCTCCTTCTTTTATTATACTTTCTACTTCTTTCGCACTCAGCAAGCTCTTGCATCCTAGTGGCTTTATTGCCTTGCCTTGGGTGAAATGATGAAAAGAAAAACTAAAATAAAAAAAAACAGAAAAATTTTAAGAATTAGGCAAACATCTACTCTACCATTAGTACATTCGCGTGTTTATAAAATCTATGATAAGGTCAAACGAGTCTTAAAGAAACAAATGATAAATACCCGCCCATTAACATCGATAGAGGTCTGCAGAAAATCTTCGCCTCCGTCCTTCTCTGCCCGAAAACACCATCCGTCGTACCCAGGTTTCTCCACTGACAGACCGGCACACAGCATCTGCAGTCGCGTAATTGTTAAAAAAAAAAAAGAATTACTTGATATTCTGCTCAGATGAAAAGGCGAGAAACAATTTTGGCACCGACTAAATGGGAAGGAGAGGGAGTTAAAGCGGGGAAGAGAGAAGAAGAAGAGGGAGAAAGAAGGAAGGGAGGGAGAGGAGGAGGAAGAGAGGAAAAAGAAGAAAGATCAAAAGTGAGGGAGAAGACGAAGAAGAGAGAGAAGAGGAGAAAATATAAAAAGAGAGAAAGACGAGTGTGATATAGAGAGAAAAGAATGGAGGTGAGAAAATAGAGAAATAAAGAGACAAAGGATGATAAAAGTAGAAAAAAAGAGAAAGGCGAAGGGAAGAGATAGAGGAAGAGGCAAAGGAAAAGAGAGAGAGAGCATAAAAGTTAAAAAAAAGAAGAAAAGAAAAAAAGAAAAATCTATAAAAAGAAAAAGACTGAGAGTAATTGAAGAATGATAGATAGATAAAAAGAGAGAGAATGACAAAGTGATAGAAAACTTAAGGCAATGTAATAGGGAAAAGGAAAGAGAGAATGTGTGAGGGGAAAGAGAGAGATTGAGAAAAAAGAGAGTGTGAATAAGAGATAATTTGAGTGTTTCGGACGATTTGCTTAGGTTGGTCTTTGTCCACAAAAATGGTAGAAATGCCCGGCACGCATCTCCTGTCAGATTCAATTGCTTCCACCATCGTATTCGCCTCGAATCGTAGATATTTGTTGGTCTGAGAGATCAAATATTACATACTACAGAATGAGGCCTTTTCAAGAAAGCTTTACTCTCACGTATTCAGTGTATCACTTCTTTCATTTATATGCCAGCTTCTGCCGGGCAACAATCAGCATCACGACTACTGCTATTTGCTTGTTCTTTTATTTGTTCGGTTCCTGTTGTGACACTTGCGGTTATCAGCCACAGTAGTCTAATTTTACTTTCCAGGTAATTCTTTCCAGTTTGAAGATGCTTGTTCTTAGGATCGAGCAAAAGTCTATTGCAATTTTTATTTAAATACTCAGTCTTGTCTCAGCTAAAATAACAAGATAGTTTCTCATCTTAAGGGAAGTCAGTAACGGTTCATCAGTTCCAAGAATAAACATCATATCAGTACCGGTTCATCATTTCCCAGAGTAAAGATCACATCCACCACACTCCATCCTTTCTCAGAGTAATGGTCACGTCAGCCATGTTTGATCATTTCCCAGAGTAAAGATCACATCCACCACGATCCATCCTTTCCCAGAGTAAAGATCACATCCACCACGCTCCATCCTTTCCCAGAGTAAAGGTCACGTCACCCATGTTTGATCATTTCCTAGAGTAAAGATCACATCCACCACGCTCCATCCTTTCCCAGAGTAAAGGTCACGTCACCCATGTTTGATCATTTCCCAGAGTAAAGATCACATCCACCACGCTCCATCCTTTCCCAGAGTAAAGATCACATCCACCACGCTCCATCCTTTCCCAGAGTAAAGGTCACGTCAGCCATGTTTGATCATTTCCCAGAGTAAAGATCACATTCACCACGCTCCATCCTTTCCTAGAGTAAAGGTCACGTCAGCCATGTTTGATCATTTCCCAGAGTAAAGATCACATCAAACTCGCTCCTCTTTTTTTCCCATTTTTCTTATTTTCTGCAACACTTCATCATTTTCCTCGAGTATAAATTACGTCAGCCACGGTCCATCCAGTTTCATAAATAAAGAACATGTCAGGTCCGGTTGATCATTTTCCCCATTAAAGATCACTTCAGCAATGGTTCATCATTTTTCAGATTAATGATAATTTTATAAGTTTTCCGACTTCTTTATTGTACTGCCCTTTTTTTACGGGAGCGGAGATCTACTGTTAACGTAGCAAATAAAAGTTTAAGTTCGATACTCTCTTACTACTGCTATTGTCTCAGCTCAGCAAATACCTACGTAGATATATGATGTCTAAATGATGTTTGAGTTGCATAACTGTTATCAGGAAGAAAAAATTGAATCAGTGAACTGAACACAAATTCCATCTTAGTTTGTTGCATTCACTTTCTCAAAAATGTCTTTGGGAGTGATATGGATCTATTTTCTCTCCTCTCCAGCTATGGATTGAATATCAGAGTTGACTGGGATCCATAGTTTGGCTGTTAGCTACTCCAAAAAGAAAACTTTGAATTCAAAATCGTGGAGAACATAACAGGAAATCGTTCCCAAGAATTCATAGAAATTCACAGATAAAGGAACCTGTGGAGAGACGTTTTGTAAGGTTAATCTTTGTAGCTGTTGTGAAAATATATTTCACAACTGCTACAAAGATTAAACTTTCGAAATTTCGGAAAGTTGTCTTCATTAAATGGCTCTTAAGAAAAATAAAATAATTAAAATAAAATCATGCTTTGTCATTTGGGGGAAGTGGTTCGGGTCTAGAAGTTTTTGTCTCCATCTTGGATATATTTTGGAATACGTTGCTTATTTTGTACACTCATAAGCAGACACAATATTCTGTTGCTTGGACAACATTATAGCGCAGCATCGTTATTGATCACCGAAGTCAAACATCCTGCCAAAAACTGATGGCAGCATCTCATTGGTGCAAATGAACGTGTCACTCGTGACGTCATGTATGCAACAAATCTTATTCAGACTTGAAAGCAAATGAGACAAAATTGTCGATTCCTTCGCTGGCAGACACAACAGCAATGAAATCGACACAAGCGGATGGAAAATATTTTAGAGATTACTCACTAGAATAAACAACAAACAGGTTTGCGGTCTCAAGAATAGAAGCAAGATCAATATCTATCTATCTATCTATCTCAGTCTGTTCGTATCTATCTATCTATCTATCTATCTATCTATCTATCTATCTATCTATCTATCTATCTCAGTCTGTTCGTATCTATCTATCTATCTATGGTAGCAGCGCAATAAAATTGATATTAAGCCAGCGATGTTGTCAACATTTTCATATATTTAGTGTGTGTATTTATTTTATAATATCTATATAGACTTTATATAAATAATGATAATATCTGGTTTTGCGTGTTTCATTAAGCAAAATGCAAAATGCAAAATGCAACATACAATCATATTTATGTATAAACCCAAAACATATAAACAACAAAAATATACAATTTCATATATAGCTTAACAGTTCATTATTTTACATGTTAATATCTGCTCCTTGACATTCTATAACCTTCACCAATCTTACATTGATTTTCTAAATTTCTATATTGTGTTTAATTTTAGATTTTAGTTTGCAGTCGTTTTGATTGTTTGTCAATGATACTTGGCTGAACCTAGTTTTCCATTGAAATATAAAATTCTCTCTTTTAATGATTTTCAAATATTCTTAACGTTTTCCATCTTTTCTGTTTATATTCATAATTCTGGCTTCTTCAGATATTTTCTTCTTGCAACTCAAATCACTTTTCTGCTGTAAACATTTTCATTTTTCTTTTTAAAATCCTTAAAAAAACTCTTTTCCTTGTTTGTATCTCGTTTTCATTTTCACTTTTGATTATCCTTTCTGAATATTTTTTTCAATTTTCAACATTTTCTTCTCATCGCATAGTAACCTTAGAATATATCTTTTCTCTTTTGAAAACCCATATCTTTCTTAAAACCAATGACAGTCATATATATATATATATATATATATATATATATATATATATATATATATATATATATCTGTGTGTGTGAGTGTATGCGTGTGTTGTAATCTAGGGATTTAAAAATTTTCAACTCTACTATAGAATACATCGTATTGTAACTTAGGGAATGTTACTGAATAAAATAATCACACGAAGTTTGGTAATGAACGATAATACTTAGGACAAGGTATAAGATTCACTAGAGGCTCGTAGAAGAAGTATTCAACTGCTGGAAGTGAGTCAAGTGAATTCCACAATAAATTTCCGACTGCAGGCTATCCACCAACCGCCCCACGCAGTCATATGTGACACAAGGCCGAATTTAATGTGGGGTATCCGAGGCCGTTGGCTGGGCCAAAAATTCCCCTTAGACCCCGTATAAAACGGGGTCGAGTAGCTGTTTCCCGAGACGAGACTCTGCCCTTCGACATAGCCTCGTCTGGGGATCATTTCTGCCCAGCATCAAAGAGTTTGATCAGCACGGCTGGAGACGAATCTCCAACAGCAGACCAACATACAGTATTTACTACGGTATTTATGTGAATGGGGACATAACCATTATCGTCCGTAGGTATGCTAATAAAGTGTGCCTGTATGTTTATGTGTGTGTGTGTGTTAAGATTTTGGTTTTGAAATTTAAAAAAAACTATTTAATCACCAGTCACTTACTATTCGCCTAAAGAGGTACAACGTCGTACCGAAACATGACATCTATTCTGTAGTGATTTCAACAAGTTTTTGTTCTAATATCTAAAATGAAATAATATATATGTGTATGCGTGTGTGTGAAATTAAAACGTAAATATCAATAACTATATTAAATATATATATATATATATATATATATATGTAAAATTTCGCACCATCAATAAGTTATTGTAAATGTTTCTAATAAAATCAGATTTTATAATATTTATTGTATATATAATTATATCCTGAAGATTTTATCAACATCGGTTGGTTATACCAATTTTATTGTGAAACTATCGAACTACATAATAAAATGTGACGGTAGGGTATCTTAGTATGTTTATCTATCTATCTATCTATCTATCTATCTATCTATCTATCTATGTCTACTAATTTTTAAACCAATTCTTTTGATTAAAGCTTCTGTCGCATAATTTCCTGTACACATCATAATCTGGTTTTGCTCGATATTTAAGCCAACAAATAATTACAAAGAAGAAATTTCAAAATCAATAATCACAGTTTTTTTTCGGTCTCATCGCCATTTTTTGTTTTAGCCTAAAAGATTGCCTAAAAATTGAATTAGTTTTTTTCTTTGACATTATTCAACATCATTTCTTTTTCTTTGTTATTCGGGCAAAAGTCGAACGCTGAAAAATACAATGAACAGAATGCTGGAAAAAAGAACAAACAAAAAAAAAAAAAATAAAAACAAATAAATTCATCCATTTTTTAAAAACTTTCTTCTGATATACGATGAATAATGAAATATTGCATTACCCGAGTGTAAAAAATTCTAAAAATTGTAATACAATTAAGACTTAAAATTCAATAATTATCATTAATTATAGTATCTTATTGTGCCTTGTTAGATAGCCTTGCTTTGAAATGAGAAGTAATGGCGACTAACGTTCTGCTTTTCCATGTTGTTGGTATTACAGTACCCCACTGATATTTTCTTTAGCCGCGTCTTTGTTTACTCTAGACCGATGTCCATTTTAAAAAATAAAAAACATATTTCGTTTTCCTTGGTATGTCACACCATCAAACATTTGCTGTCAGTAACGATTTTATCCAATATGGCTCTAAATAAATTCTGGAGACAAGTTGTATCAGGAAGGGAGGCGTTAAGGGATCCTATTGTTTTTGGTTTTGAAGGACGACAGAGTTGATTAAGCTGAGCTGAAACGAGCTGGTAGATATATGGAAGACTTCAACCCTCGAGAGGGAGGGGACACAAAAGGAGTCATGTGATGAATGTGTATCATGTCTGTCTCATGAAGACAGGCCCCCATCTGACAATACCAGTAAGAGTATTCGTGTAGCATTTATTTCAAAGTGTTTGGGTCATCCCATAAAACTAAAAGTCAAGATAATTAGGTTGCTGGTGGAAAAGTGACCTGTACAAAATTTCATCCAAAGCAAGGCAACAAAGCCACTATCACGCAGGGGATAATTATTATTAAGGAGCGATAACAATAAAGGAACAAAAATGAGGAAAACAGAAGAAAGCAATGGTCATTGCATTTAAATGTTTGAAGATCAAACTTGACTGGAAAGCAAGAAGCCGGAACTGAGTTCCACAAGTAAGAAGTGCGAGAAAAGAAACCTTGCCGCTAATCAAGTACTGTACTTAAATTCATAGAGTCTAGGTATCACAGAGGAGAGTTCATCAGAACAATTGTCATGATAATATTTATAGAAAAGGCATAAGGAAGTTATATTACAAAAGTGGAAAAGTGGCTGAAGCCGAGACGCCAGATTAGG